TTTTTGGCAAAGTCAAGAAAACGTTTCAAAATATTTCCTGTAAAATATGCCAATGAGCTATTCAGGCAGTAGTGAGATACCTGAAGGAGCTGGGTTTGCATTCTCCATGAAGTGAAGTAAGTTGCATTGCATCTCAAACTGGAAATGCATTCTCTCGATAGTTTTATTCTGATTCTGGAGCACGAGAGAGTAATGTTTTCAAAAACGCCTAGGGCCAGATTAAAGGAAAAATGGTAATAATAATAATGAAATAGTAAAGATTTCCAGGAGCACTTGGGTGTCAATAGCTCCACTGACTGCAAAGGAGATCAGACACCTCACCAGCTTCTAGAAAACCTCAGACTGCCCCTATCAACATCTTTAGATGATTTGGGAGCCAAAACCTCAGTGAAAATCAATCATCACGGCTACCGGAGAAAACAGGACAAAGTGTTGTTTTGGTCTTTGTCTCCCTGGTGCCATTTGGTGTACAATTTAGGATTTCATTCTCTGCTAACGTATGTCGATGTAACTCTCTCTCACTCCAGTGAAGAATGCAGCCCCCCCAGTTTCTCTGCATCTTCTCCAAAGGCAGACAGTAATTCAGTAGAACACTGGGAGCCGATGCACCTCCTTTGGGATTCCCTTCTCCTGTTAAGGTACGAGAGGAGCCAGAATATGGACCTCAGCTGAACTGCCGAGGGGAAGAGAATACAGTCACAGGACAGTTCTCTAGTCTTACACAGCAAGCCTCCTCGCTCCCACATCAGGCTTTTCAGCTGTAAAATCCTGTGATCTCGGTAGAACTACTGCGGGTTTTGCCAGGAGAAGATCAGAATCAGGCTGCTTTCACAGACAGCTACGCGGTGATACATGAAAGCTGTTCAAGACCCGCGCTTCAATTTTTTATATGCAGGCAAAATCTGCATCAAAACGCAGGACATCCAATTGCTTGCAGATCGCAAGCACGACCGGCAGATTTCACCTCCCTGCAGATGCCAGTGAAATCTGCTTGTGGCACTAGCTCTGGCCTGCAAAAGCTTCTTCCTGCAAAAGGCATATTCCAAAGGAACCCGCCGTGAAGTCCGAGCGACCCTTACAACTCACGCCTACGTGAAACTCGCCACTGAATGCTTGCTGACCTGCTGGGATCTCCCCAGCCCCCACCTGTCTTGGAGAAACGCTAATTTGGCAATACTGATAGAGTGAGGAAAATAGAAAGTTAGAGATATTCGACGACTTCTCACCCCAAAATGGCTTAGTAAGGAAAGCAAACAAGCACAACCAAACCACCTCATGTCTGGCAAGTGAGAGAGTTCATAATACAGTGCAATCACCACTCCGTTTTGGCATGATTCAGTCCAAGTAGAGACAATTGGATTGAAAAGCTGACATTATTTTTTTTTTAAAACAAATTGGTCTCATATCTTGCAAAAAAAGAGAACTTTTCTGATGGAGTAGAACCAGTTCTGACAAAGCTGCCACTGTCAGCCAGGCACAAAAATATTTTAGAAGGTGACTGATAAATATTTTATATGAATCCAAATTATGTACTGCTCATCAATAGTCCGAGTAAGGGTCAATAAGGACAGGTTGTTTTTAAACTCCAGAAATCATCTGTTGATGGCATTATAGCCCTCAGACAAACTGCTGGTTCCTGAAGGTAACTTTGTAAACTCCCACTGAATAATATGTACTTAGCAGATCAGACCAGGAGCAACAAATTTTACATGAAAATAGATGTTTGCCAACATTTTAGGTTACCAGCAAATATATAAAGCTGTTGAAAGTTTTAGAAGATTACATACATATATATCTAAAGATAACTTGCCTAATTAGATATTTATGCAGAATGACTGTTTTCTAAGGTGAGTAATACTAGTGGCAATTCTGTATTTAGTCACCAAGAGTCCACATTAAGGAATGGTACTTGTTCAGCAGATACTGATCTCGTTTGCACCAACACACTGCAGTCAGTGAAGTTGCTCTGGAGTTAGTGTCGTGACTGTGGACAGAATCTGGCCACCAGCACACAACCACATTGCCTTCTCGGGAGGACAGAGATGGCTGAGCCACACTTCAAATGTATTTTCTGCCACTAAATTTGACTTTTCAATGTCTCTTTTTGATAAATATTAAACCACTCCCAAGCTGGAACAACTATGCATTAATGAGCAACGGTGGTGGCAAACTGATAGTGTAGTATTTTATATTTATTTCAAACAACTCTCCCCAAAGTCCATAAAAAAGATGAAGAACCAAGTTTTCTTGCGCAGACGTTGTGTGGTTCACTCCCTGCAGACTCCAGCTGTAGGGAGTGTGGATCTGGGAAGAAATCAATTATCCCAGCCCAGTCACACAAGGGAAAAGCTATGGCTCAGTCACCTCTGTGCTACCTGGCCAAGGGACTGGTCCTTCCTGTTTTCCCCCAACCTTAAGGGCTGCCGGCAGCCCACGAAAGTTAGTATCTGTGTAGTCCCGACGGGGAATCAACCTGGCATGCATCGGCCCCAGCAAACTGGGGGGAGCACAGAGCTGTTCTTGGCTCTCCATCCTTGGCTCTCTCCTTCCTCATCTGCATAGCTGGCAGTTGTGCTGGGCTCCGGCAGCTGTTAGGCAGCTCCTGGATCCCAGGACAGGCAGGGTGAGATGGGAGGAGAGACACCGTTTTGCTGTGTGGCCTTGCTCTTTACATGACAAAATGCTTGTGGAGCACAGCAACAGGTCCAGACCAGCCCGCCCTTCAGCCCTTCCACTTCTTAAATGAACACACACCATGGGCATCTCCAATGCAATTTTTAGCTCACTCCACTGAGTGGGAAGTCAAACCCTTCTCTAACTCACTCTTCATAAACTAGATCCATCTTGGTGAAACTGCTGCCTGAAACAGCTGTTAGGGATAAATATAAACCTATATTCTTTTTGAGAAACAGATCGTTCTGTTAAGCGGTTGGTTCCTGGGATTTCCTTCTTGCCTGTAGGATATTCTAAGTGTAGAATTTTTCATGCCAAATTCATGAATCCAGGGGAGAGACTGTCTTATTTATTTCACAGCTTCCCTCTGCTGTAGGGATCTCCAATGTAATAGTCGTCATTACCAGGAGAGTAGCACTGTACCTGAATCACTCTCTGTAACACTGGTTTTTCTCTGAACACCTCAGTAAGGCTCTTTACTAACTTCATTTTCTCATGGCAAATTAGCAAAGCTATTTTCCTGTCTACTTATTCCTGAATCAAATCAGAGAGTTTTCCTCAATTAACCTCCCATTATTCTCTTGATTCTGTCATACACACTCACTACTAAATTTGCCCTCAGATTATTGCGTCATGTTACACATGTACAGACGAAGAAAGGACACACTTTTACTTTTTTCTTTTTTTTTTTCTTTTTTTTAAACAGAAGTAGGGAGAGGGGGGCTGAATGTGCAGACAAGGCAGTATAATTCAACCATCCAAGCCCTACCAGAGCATGAAGATTTTATTTTTTAATATTGCAGAGTAAGTTCCCCAACAGTCAGTGTTTGTCCCTGAAGAAGGTTAAACCTTAAACACCTGCTTCAAAAAAACCCCAACAACAACAAAAAAGAACCAAAACAAAAACAAAAACAAAACAAACAAAAAAATAAAACCCAAAAAAACAAACTCTAAGCCTAAGGGCTTAAAAATTAGAGGCATAGCCTTTTTCTCTATTTTCTATATTTATATGAAAATAATTCATGCTTCATGCTAAATACATTATTTACCTTACAAGAACTTTGTCATCTTTGAATAAAAAAAAATTGTTTGCTTTTTGTATTCCCCCCCAAAAAGGAATCCATGCAATGTGGATCAAATTTCTTCTGCTGGCTACGCTAGTTGAATCTGGAAATCTGTTGTCATTTTTGCACAGATGAATCCTGACTGACAGTAACTGCATGCTCATTTCTGAGGGCAGCATAGGAGCTCTTTTGTTGAACTTCTGAATTTTACTGTTCACCAATATGCTTTGCTTTTTCTTTTTTTTTTTTTTTAATATAGAATACTAGTAATGGCAGGTTTTGTAGCTTTGTTTCCCCAGTTAGATCAAGGATTTGATCCACAGAAAAAGATTCTGATGTACTTCCTTCCTTAATATCTATTGTCTTTTCTTAGACTTGATTGCTTTTCACTCAGGCAGTTTAGAAGACATAGCTTGTTTTTCCCTATTACTATTATTTTTTGCACGCAGTGCCAATCTTCGGGCTTATGGCTTTTTGAACATTCTTTTAATTTAATATAGAAGACAGAATTCAATGATTAACGATGCTACTAACAGTGCCTCCCCCCCATTTTCTTCTCATTATTTCACTGAAACCCATTGCATACATAGTTCAGATTCCCCCAAACTTAAGTTATCAGTCTTCACATTATGAGCCACATCTAGTACGTGAAGCACTAAAAGTGCATTATGGTTTGCGCAGTTGCCACCAGTGGCTGTCCAAAGACTTCTATGGCACAATGTATCCATGTGCCACTAGATGGTTCTTGGTTTGGTGTTGAGAAGTACACGCCTCCTCCTTCCCCCAAATCTCTTTATTCACATTCACTTCTAACCCAATTGTAAGGCCATTAAAAAAAAATTCTTAAGGGCCAGGCCTGAATGATTACTAAATTATGCACAGCTCTTCTAGTGTAAGAGGGATTTCCAAGTGCCCAATTTTACTCCCATCACATTAAAGTTGATGTCACTGCGTATTCAACCATGCATTTTTGACAAGCTGGAGAAAGCAATGGCAGTTTTGGCTTATTTTTTTGTTAACTTTTTGTCTTCAGGTAATGAAAAGCTTTTGTAAATTAGCTGAGTGTCAGTATGAGTTCTATGGCTTCAATCTCCTTTAAAAATAAAAATCTTAAGGGTCCAAAAAAAAAAAAAAAAAAAAAAAAGAAAAAACCAAAACAAAAACAAATAGAAAGAAAAACAGAAAAGGAAAAAATTGCTGATATTGCCACAAATCATTAGAATTCACCTGACGTGCTGAAACAAAACTTTGTAAGTTCAAACAAATCATTGATTTGTTCTAATTTTTTGTGGTTTCCTTTTGCTCTTTCTGCCCCTTTGCCGTCCGATTGGTGATGTTGTTCAAACAGGATCGAATTCCTGCTAAATGCAGGAGTGATCCTGCTGCTTCTTTCATCTCCTCATCGTCACTCTCAGGAGGCTTTTCTGTACGTCTCTTTTTAAGAGGCAGTGTGTCACTTGGTACTTTTTTCACCTTCATTAAATGTTGCCTTTTCTTGTGCTGGGATGCATACCCACTGTCAGCTAAAGAATCCTTGGTCTCCTTCTGATTTTGCTTTTTGTCCTCCTCTTCTGTTTCACTATGGCTCTCGTGGCTCTGGAAGCTAACTTCACTTCCTTCACTGCTGTCTTGGCTACCTTTAGTTGCAAATTCATACTGGTCGTCAGCAGAGGAAGAGGAAACGGAGTCACTAGCAGGTGATGTGCTCCTGTGGTTGGAAGATTTGGCACTGCTGTAGTTGTGATCCTCCTTTGGGTCACCGCTAACAACTGGAGAGCCACAGGACTGTTCGCTTTCTGTCCGCATCCGGCAGTTTGTTATTCCATTCCTGTAAAAACAAATCAAAGCAGTCTTAGAAGCCACAGAGATGTGATCCTACTTCAGTGCAAAAGATGATAAAGCCAAGCCAACTGACAGATAATCTAAAATTATGACTATGAAAATAATGTCCATGCAGGCTGGTTTCAAAGCCTGACTCAAATCGCTTGTGGATTGATTCCACACATAAAACAAGCCAAATGACACATAACAGCACAAGAGGCAGGACGAGTAGGGGATGGTCACAAATAAATAATGTCTGAAGAGTCCAATTAATAGTTTACTCTTAAAAAAAAATTAAACAGGAAAAATCCTCATTATTTTACTGCCTGGATATTAAATAAACTCTGATGAGTTGCACAAATATCCTCTCCCCTTTTTCATATAAAATGGTACTATCAAAAGTGTGGGGAAGAGACGCTAGCTTTCTGGAGTACTTCTTTGCCTCCTCTCAAAGATGTTTCCAGCTAGGACTCTTTCCAACAGAGGGAGAAACTACGTAGAGTGCCCAGGTAGTAGTCCAGTCATATTTCTGATTGTAATCAGTTTATGAATAATCTTCAAGGCAATATAATCTTAAGCCACTAGCTGCCTAGAAAATATTAAAATGTTTTTAAAAACAAGCAATAGAAAAAAAATAATGCTGGTTTTGCTCTAGAAGTTGTCATTTTCCCCTTTGGTTTTATGGCACTCTACGCTGTGGGAACTACTGCAACATGATATATTTAAAAACGAACAGTGTCCTCTTCTGCAATGGAAAATATTAGAGCATTCCCACTGACTTTACAATACAGAATACAATACTTGCAAGTCTATTAAAGAAGGGACTGACCCTGTGCAATGCTTAATTGCTGCTGAAAAAAACTGAGAAGAGGATGCTCATCATTGAGTAAACGCATCATCATTGCCACCCGCCAGCTCACTAGCCTTGAACCCCTCTATCAGTTAAAAAAAACCCTAAACAAGCAAGACTAGTTAAACTATCACACGATAAACTTTAAAATCTAGTCCTGCCATCTTCATGCTATCACTACAGTTCTTTTGCACACTCATGGCTGTATTGGATTAAAACCTTTTCTTAAATACACGCACTGAACATAGATATTTCTTAAGAGGAATGGCACAGTGGCACGTCCAGAGTATGACTGCTCTTCTACTTAAAAAATGGGAAAGTGCTTTAGCTTTCGGGGAATGGACCTCATGTCTTTTTTCTTTACAGAAGAAACAGCAGAGCATTACCCATTTCGGAAAGGTAAGGCTGAAAGGTGGAAAATATGAGAGTGGTATATAATTCCACAGTTCCTATTCATCTAAATGCTCTTGTCTGTAGAGCTTGGTGAAATAAGAAACAGGCTTTTGTGAGCCAGTGACAGGACAACGCTAGAAGGTAGCAAATTAATCAGTCATTCCGAATGTTCTTATTTACAGTATTTTCAAAGAAATGTATATAATAGATGGCCCAGTTATTAGCAAAGAAAGCCTCTTGCCAACCTCTTTTGCTCAACAAAATTATTTTCCCCTAGATTTTCGAGTAGCTTTATGATCCATAAATTATATACAGAACCCAGAAGGAATACACAAAGCTCCTTCAATTATTAATAACTAAATGCAATGTCATTCATGATTGTGCAGCAAGCCAGCTGCATTTACACTGTGATGGTTTGCCACTGCAGGGGTTGTCATTAGAGGATGCCAAATGCTTTAAAGAAATCACCCATACTAAACTAGTTGTAAGGTGAATTTATAACCAACTCCTTAAGATCAGTCATTACGAGGAAGCATGTGATGCATTTTAAGTGACAGATTCTTCATTTTTAGGGTAAATTTACATTTGAAGATGTTAAAAATTATAATATATTTGCATAAAATTAATGTTACTTGATTTTACTAGGCAGTTAATAGTCAGAGCAATGTGGCTCAATAACAATCACATGCTACTAATTTTCCATTAAAAAATAGCACTAAATTCTTGCTCCAAGGAAACAAACACAGGACAGAATAGGTGGGAACTCAAATGAGATTCCTACTGACTAAGTTATTAGTGAACAAGGCTTCTAACAGACAAGATTTAAATCAAGGTGCTCATTTTCATGTTATTAGATCTACTCCTGTTTGCTAGTTTATATTGAGAGACCATCAATAAAAGGAAAGCTACAGTTCCGTGGAGCAGAGCAACCACATGCCAAAAAGACATCCCTGATTTGCCCTGCTCTTGAGTCTGTAGTGTTTGCTTTTACATAAAGGTAAAAGCAAAAGGTTTGTCCTGGTTTCGGCTGGGATAGAGTTGGTTTTTCTTCCTGATGACTGGTATATGCTGTGTTTTGGATTTGGTTTGAGAATAATGTTGATAACACACTGGTGTTTTTAGCAATTGCTGGGCAGTTGTGGTGCTTATACTCAGTCAAGGGCTTTTCAGCTCCCCATGCTCTGCCAGCGGGAAGGTGCACAAGGAGCTGGGGGTGACACAGCCAGGACAGCTGACCCAGGCTGGCCAAAGGGATGTTCCATACCGTATAACATCATGCCCAGTATATAAACTGGGTTGGCCAGCGGTGGGAATCGGTGCTCGGGGATGGGCTATCGATCACTGGGTGGTGAGCAATTGTTGCATTGTGCATCACTTGGTTTTTTATATTCCTTTATCAGTATTTATTATTATTGTTTCCGCATCTGTTGCTGTCCTATTAAACTGTTCTTATCTCAACCCACAAGTTGGCTTTTTTTCCGATTCTCTCCCCCGTTCCACCTAGGTGGGGGGGTAGGTAAGCGAGTGACTACATGGTACTTAGTTGCCAGCTGGGGCTAAACCATGACAGGCTATAATTTGGATTTAAAAGTTCTGTCTGTGGGACTTGCTGCAGATCCCAATCCTTTCAAAAAAGCATAAAAATAAAATGAAAGGCCCCAGGATTACAGAATCAATGTCCTGGGAGAAGGTGTACTACTATGGGGTTAGCATCCCACAAGGAGTGACTGCAAATAGGGTTGATGACAAAGAAAAACAGAAGACCACAGAAAGGTGAGAAAAAGAAATCACTTTGAAAAATGGGAGGAAAGGAAATACCAATACACTTCAGAAGAAAGGCATCTATGGTGGAACTGGTCAGGAAATGGAAAGCATTTGCATCTTAGAAAAATCTTTGGTTTTCACTTACATTTTGAAAGATTTCCAACCAGTTCTGCTTGGGGAAATAAAAAAGGAAGAGAAATCAGGTCAAGGAGAGAATTATCAAAGGATATCCGCAGAAATGAAAATGAGTTATACAGACAGAGTGCTTTAGGATATTCACAAATCAAAAGTCATGTACCCTGAAAGTAAATTCATCTGATTTTGTATCTTGATACGCAATGGCTCAAACATAAGATATGAAGAATTACTTATAACTGAAATTAGTAGATTAGTAAGAGTTGGATAAACTAGTATCTAAACCATTGACGTTCTGCATGTGCTTCTGAGACATTCTAAAATATTGCTCTTATACAGTCACATACTCACTAAGAAATGAATCTGCGATCTACTTAGTTCTATCTAGATCATCAGTGGACAGAACTCCCCTGGGTTTTAGGGAACAGATTTTGGCCAGCTGAATCTATTTTTGTTCACAGTTCTGGTTGTAAGTCTAACTTTGTTACTGAAACAGTAACGGATTTTTAAAACAAGCACTTGCTCTGATATGTGGGTTATTTTTAAATTACTGAGGGGAAGAAAAGATATTTAAGAATTCTGTGTTCACTACAACAATGAGGGGAAATTTATTTCAAGTAATACCTTACTTTTTCCCCATTTTTTTTTTTTTTTTTGGAACTTTATTTCCAAGTTTCCAGAATCTCACGTATTTTCAAATGTTTTAAAGCAGTGGCTTGTCCTTTCAGCAAAGTCCATGGCACAGTCTCTAGAGCTTTTCATCCTACTGACATGGACTATTTTATTTGCCTGAGGGATCTTAACCATAGTTATACAGATAGAAGTACCACACACCAATTCTTGCTTATTGGAGTCTTACTTAATATCTTTAT